GCTTGGTGGGCGTGGCAGGGGAAGGATACTGCAAAATCCCCATTCCCTCCCCACTCCTGGGGAAAGGATATTGCAAAATCTCCATTCCTGCCCCACTCTGGGGCCAGCCAGAGGTGATATTTGCCGGTTCTCCGAACTACTCAAAATTTCCGCTACCGGTTCTCCAGAACCTGTCAGAATCTGCTGGATTTCACCCAGGGGTGGGTTCTAATTTTTTTTACTACCGGTTCTGTGGGCGTGGCTTATTTTGTGGGTGTGGCTTGGAGGTCATGTGACTAGGTGGGCATGGCTAGCTGGTCAGAGTCATTTCTGGAAGGTCCTCGCACTTACGACCAGTCCTCGCACTTACGACCCGACTCATTTGTTTGCTTTTAACACTGATCAGCTATAGGACGGCCCTTTGAAGCCCCGCTGCAAGGGTTTAAACAGTTTTTTCCCTCTAGTCATCAGCTGGGACTCAGGAGGCAGCAATAGATTGGGAGTGGGACCAAATAAAAGGTAAGAATAACGTGGGGGGTGGGGAGAACCGATTCGGTGACGTCATATCATCACCGCTACCGGCTCGGCCGAACCGGACCGAACCAGGAGGAACCCACCACTGATTTCACCCCTGCCTTGAAGACATGGCTACCCCAACTAGTCTGGGGCCCTAATGGGGTTCTACCTGCTGGAGGTGGCTGAGGAACTAGAAGGCACCACACCTCCCTCCCTGCTCAGCTTTATTTAAATTTAAGATCTGTATTTACTGTTTTAATTATTTTACACGGCATTTTATTCAATGCCTGTAAGCTGCCTAGGGTCGCCTTGGCGAGATGGGTGGCATACAAGTTTTGATAAATACATTTAGACTAAATGTTTAAGGAGCCATGGTGGCACAGTGATTAGACTGCAGTATTGCAGACTAACTCTTCCACGGTCAGGAGTTCGATCCTGACTGGCTCAAAGTTGACTCAGCTTCTTTGGATAACTACCCAATCACAGCAAGGACATTTAAATGGACGTAAAGTATTTTACTTACATTGGGTAAAAAGATTTTCTGATAAGTGCCAAATTTGGGAAACACTGCTTTAAAACTTTCTGGTAGAAAACTGAGGTTGTGTCTTCTTGTGCTTCAGTCACTGTCCAGGTTATACCCAGTGACAAGCCCTAAATCCAAGATAACAAAATACATTTGGCGATGTTTATATAAGAGCCTTAATCACTACACTTTGCTGTAGTGGTTAAGGAATTTGGCTGGAATTCGAGAGATCATGAATTCTAATTCTGCTTTAAGCGCAAAATCACTAGGGTGAGCCTCTCACACTCAGCCTTAGGGAGAGACAATGGCAAACTACTGTATTTTTCGGAGTATAAGATGCACTGGAGTATAAGACTCACCTTAGTTTTTGGGGAGGAAAATAAGAAAAAAGCTGATTGGCAGGTGGATTGGCCTCCCAGAATACCCCCAATCAGCTGTTCCCAGAGGTGAATTTTAGCAACAGGTTCCTTGGTTGTGAGCTCTGCGCCTTGCTTTTTTTTTGCTTTTTTTTTTCTGCCTCTGAAACTTCTGAAACTCTGTTTCAGAAAAAAGTTTGTTTTCCTGCCTCTGAAAGCCTCCGAAACAGAGCTTCAGAAAAAAAGCCTCTGAAGCTCTGTTTGGGGGCTTTTTTTCTGAAGCTTCATTTCTGATGCTTTTTTCAGCCTCTGAAACCTCCGTTTTAGAAGCTGGGCAGGGCTACATTCGGAGTATAAGACGCACCCAGATTTTCATCCTCTTTTTGGGGGGAAAAAGGTGCGTCTTATACTCCGAAAAATATGGTAATTTTTTACCCCCACCATTATTATTTGCATAAATAATTCAAGGTTGAAAACACTTTTCTCCTCCTATTTTCCCCACAACAACAACCACCCTGTGGCATAAATTGGGTTGAGAGAGACTGGCCCAAGGCCACCAGCCAGTTTTTATGCCCAAGGCAGGAGTAGAATTCAGTCTTCTGGTTTCTAGCCAATAGGTGGTGCTTTAACTTGCTAAGCCAAAATGTTGTTGAGAAAACTGCAGGGACTAGTGTCCATGTAGCATAATACTGTGCCCAGACAGTCTTAGCTGGTGACAGGGATCTGGGATGTTTGTTTGGGGTTAAGGGGGATGTCAATGGGATATAATCTTGCCTACTTTCTAAGTCCCTGTTTACATAAGTCCTTTGTTGGCATGCAGTTCTTGCTTTGTTGATCTTTGCCTACACAGTGTCAGAAATCTAGAAAAGGGGAACGTATCCCTTCACTGCATGCCCAAAGATTGTAGATCACCATCTTTTCACACCTCTAAATGGCATAGAGGGAGGGTTTAGGCAAGACCCAAAGAGTTGAAACTGCCCCGAGTCTTTCCCAGCAGGCAGATTTGCACATAATGGTATATTCCTTTTCACTCAAGCAGCACATCCCTAATGTTCCACTCCTCCCCATATGCTTTTATTCTGAACGTGGGAAGGGGGCAGCTTTGGAAAGACCCCTGTGGTTCTAGCCTCTTTCATCTTCCCAGCCACTGTGAAAGCCAGCTGTGATTTTCCATTCTCAGAAGTTTTTTTCTCCAATAACTGGCATTCTTCATTGGTTGCTAGATATAAAGTGTTGAAATCCATTTTTCTCCCTCTTTTCTTCTGCTGTAAAAGAAAAACAGGCTTTTTTTAAAAAAAAAAAACTGAATTTTAAAAATTCTTTTATATAATACTGTATAGCATAGGGACAGGAATTAATTACATTAAGTATAGTGCCCTGCTTTTGAGTCCTAATAATAAAATCACTGCACCCCAATGTATTTAAATACTTGATCATCTCTCTTTCATAGATTCACATTTGATGCCCTTTTTCTGGAAAGACATCCCTTATTTTACTTTCCTCTTTTTTTTTTAATTTGATTTATATGCCGCCCTTCTCCGGAGACTCAGGGCGGCTTACAGTGCGTTAAGCAATAGCCTTCATACTTTTGTATATTTATACAAAGTCAGCTTATTGCCCCCACAAACTGGGTCCTCATTTAACCTACCTTAGAAAGGATGGAAGGCTGAGTCAACCTTGAGCCTTGGAGAGATTCGAACCAGCAGTAAATTGCAGGCAGCTGTGTTAATAACAGGGTGCTTTAAACCACTGTAGTGGTTTAAACCACTGTAGTACCAAGGCTCTGTTTAAAATTGTATTGCTGTGAATTTTGAGCCAGCGTAGGAGAATTCTCATTGTTGGTCAGTACATTCAGATAGTATGGTAGATAAGAATCTGCTATGATCAGATAGGTCGAACTTTACGGAGCAGTGTTTCTCAACCTTAGTCACTTGAAGCTGTGTGGACTTCAACTCCCAGAATTCCCCAGCCACCCAGAAAAAGAGACTTCTTGGGTTGGAGAAAAACATTGAACCAGAAACTTAACTCTGGAGCCTTTCCATGCATCCAGAGTCTAGTCCTTGAATATCTTAAGCAACTGACAGTTTTTCGTATACATAAATGATCCACTTTAGCTGTATAACTTTAAGTTTAATTATCTTTTTATTTTATTTTAATTGATTTTTTGCACTTTTAAACTTTTATTATATTGTAAAATGCCCAGAGTCACTGTATGAGTGAGATGGGCAACAGTGAAATCCAAGAAATAATAAGAAATAATGATGTAAATCTGGCTACCGTATTGTAGTTTATAGGCCATGACTTATGACAGTGCAGTGTGTGAATCCCACTAGTTATATCTTCTTTAATCATGATTCAAAATGCCAAATGTAGACACAGTGGCATGTGTAATCTCAGAGGAACCATTGTCTCTGTGCATGTAAGAAAAAAAAGGGTGATATCTCCCAGTATATATATATATATATATATATATATACACACACACACACACACACACACACACACACACACACACACACACACACACACACACGTGTGTTATGGATAAATATCAATTTTATATTACAGATCATTTTATGTATTTATTTTTATTGATTGAAGGGATTTTGTAAACATCAGCCCATGTGGAGAAGAAGTATATAAATATGTGTACAGTATTATGTTTTTTTTTATTGGTTGAATACAAAACAGGGATTTTGTAACTCCTGTCAGTCTATATGGAAAAGTAATATATGAATATTAAAAAATGTGGCTGAATTGATCCATTGATCAGAAGTTCTATTTCAATCAGTTAAATTTTATTTATTTATTTATTTATTCATTTTAAACTGTATAAGATTTTAATAGTGATATGTGTTTGCACCTTGTGCTTTGATATGGCCTATAGCAGTGATGGCGAACCTTTTTTCCCTCAGGTGCTGAAAGCATGTGCGCACGATAGCGCATGTGCGGGTGCTGACACCCATAATGCAATGCCCCCCTGCAGCCCCAGCGCATGCATGTGTGACCTTCCCCCGCCCCCCACACATGTGCGCACAACCCCCATTTTGGTGCTAGCAGGCCTCCCTGAAGCCTCCTGGGACCAAAAACGGGGGGGGGCACCACACCCCCCACACCCTATTTTTGTGCTAGCAGGCCTCCCTGAAGCCTCCGGGAACCAAAAACAGGGCACGGGGGGGGCACTGCACCCCACCCCCCACACGCATGCACATGTGATCCCCACTCCCACACATGCACATATGACCCCCATCCCACCCCCTATGCATGCATGCGCGTCTTTGGCATGCTGGCTGGCAGACGCACGGGCATGCGCAGTGGAGCTGACCTGGGCGTTAGCTCGTGGGCCCGCAGAGATGGCTCCACATGCCACTTGGTACGCGTGCCATAGGTTCGCCATCACGGGCCTATAGGCTAATCAATAAAGCTAACTAACTAACTACTCAGTTAATCTGATTTTTTTAAAAAGGAAGTGGGCTGTAGCCCAATTTAATCATTTCAAAAAAAATTCTCAATCCGCCCTGCAGACTGACTCCAGAAGTTTGTGGAAGGTAATAAGCAGCATTTCAAAATTTCTGCTCTGCTGCTGAGTATCCAGCTTTTTTCCCCTCTCTCTCTCTTTCTGCCAGGTTGTGGCCAATGCTGTTGCTGCCTTGTCTGAAATCAGCGAATCTCACCCCAATAGCAATCTGCTAGATCTGAACCCTCAGAACATCAACAAGCTACTCACTGCTTTAAATGAATGCACAGAGTGGGGGCAGATATTCATCCTAGACTGCCTTTCCAACTACAACCCAAAGGATGACCGTGAAGCTCAAAGGTAGGCTGATCTGTGACTGCCCTACTTGAATGGGAATTCTCTGTTCCTTTTACTGAGAGCTTGATCAAGTTCTGTGACTGCTTCACTGTGGCAGGGTGTATAATGCCTTCTGACCTATGGAAGACCCTCCCCGTAAGTTTTCTAATACTCAGTCCCAGATCATGCTAAGTTAATCCCAGCTTACTTACATTTGTTTAACTTGGTTATACAACCAACTGCCAAAGTCTCTTGGTCACCAGTTATAAAGAGAAAATGTAAAATGGAGACATTCAAAGTAATTAAACAGCAAGTAAAAAAGCAAATAAAATGAGCAAGTATAATGAAAGATTAGATTGGCAGTTAAAACCGGTTTATGACTGATTGTAGCATGCCACAGCCATGGGATCATAATTTGTGTCATTTTTGCCATTTTCCAGAAAAAAACCAACAACACTCATTGGATATGCTGGATTCGCTTAATGCAGAGGTGGGCAACTCTGGCCCTTTTATGACTTGTGGACTTCAATTCCCAGAATTCCTGAGCTAACATGACTGGCTCAGGAATTCTGGGAGTTGAAGTCCACAAGTCATAAAAGGGCCATAGTTGCCCACCCCTGGCTTAATGGCCTCATGATTCGCTTTAGAACTGCATTGACTTACTTTACAATTATTGTAAAAATGGTCATAAAATTAAGTTCAGCCATGTGATGTCTCAATTTATGACTGCAACAACTTACAACCAAAATGCCATGCTCCATTGTGATCATGATGCAAGGACTCTTCTGGAGAACCATTGCAAAGCCATGTGTCCTATTCCTAAATCTATTTGATAATCCAGAGGGATATTATGTTTAATGGCATCTAAAGTCACTGAGAAATCAAGAATGAGTCACCCTGTTAGGGTTCCAAGTGACATACCCATAGCAAACAAAACTCTGAGGCAGGTAGATTCCTCAAAGAATAAGTTGATTGGATACTGTATGTCATATTGGCATGGGCTGGTGGAAACCGACTCTGACTATTCCTGCGGTTTTCATCTAATTAAAAGTAAAAGTTTTTCACTTTCTCAAAATAATCAGTCACATGGTCCAATGAGAATATTATCCAGTTGCTAGGTGACTCCAATCCCTTCCTTCCAAGCACTTGCAGGAATGTCCTTGGTTCCCACGAGAAAGTATTTTGTTTTGATTACAAATCCCGACAACTCTATTCCCCACTCCAAAATTGCCTGCAGTTGAGAAGCTACCATATTGTCAGTCACCTTACCCAACTTTGGGAGTTAGAAAGTGGCTTATTATTAGCTCTTTTTGACAGTGAATTCTCAGATGAGGATAATTGCTGATGTTCATCTGCTCTGATCTTCTTTACCTCTGTCAGTATAAAAATTGCTTTGAGTAGAATTAAATCCTAGATAGACAGTTGTTAACTTTGGTTATTCTTCAATAACTCTTTGAGCTATATACAATTTGAGAATAGTGGCATGTTCAAGAAGACTTGTATTATTTTTATGTACTGTATACATTATAGCATTGTGGAACGTTCTCTATTTTCCCCCCAGAACATCAACTCTGTGAAATAGGTTGTGTTGGGGCAAAGCAACTGGCTTCAAGTTGTCTAGGAAGCTTCTGTGACTAGGGCTACATTCTCATTAAAACCAGATATTGAGAAAACCCAGTGTTGATATTAAACCACTAACAGAGTTGTCATGCAGACCTTCAAAACTTTCTTTGGGTATTATCCAAAGGTAGGTTTCTTTAACTGGAGCAGGAGGGGTGTGATTTCCCCTTTCCACTTCCCACTCTTAAAATCTGCTCTGCAGACTTCTCAGATCTTACAGAGCAGATTTTGAAGGGGTGTAGGAAGACTGCGATGTGAAGCAGAAGTCAGATGATACAGTCTTCTTTCTGCTCTCCCATGAACTGAGAACTGCCAGCCGTATTATCCCAATAGGTGGCAATACCTGGGCCCTCTTATCTAGCATTCAAAGCTAAGCAGTATCAGGCCCAATTAGTACCTTGATCTGAGGCTACCAGGGAATCCCAGGAGCATAGCAACAGAGATTGTGAAGTTGAGAAACTGTCTTGGAAATAACAGAGGGTTACTTCTGTACTGTCGGCAAGAAAATTGTTCAGGCATCTCCATGTCATGAGGAGTCAAGCTTGACTTGAAGGAGACTTAATTTTGGCCTCTGAGCTTGTTTTCTAAGGGCCAGATAAATGACAGCTATTGGGACACTTTTGTTGGTTGTCTTTAGTGAAACTTCCTTCCCCCTTTAGTGCTGATTCTCAATGCACTTTAAGGAGAACGGTAAAATATCTCTTTTTGAGCTATTGTTTAATGGCTGAGAATAAGCGAACATAGGAAATCAATCTGCAATTGATTAATCCAAGTATTTCAGATTACATCTGAACCAGTTTTGTTTCCAGATGTTGGGAACTATCTGCAGTAATTTAGCTATCTCCCAATATGTGTCACTTGTCTGCTTCTCTATTAGCACCTATGACTATCAACAGAAAATATTGTAGTCAAGACTCTCAAGGATCTACCGTATTTTTCGGAGTATAAGATGCACTTTCCCCCCCTAAAAGAGGGTGGAAATGTTGGTGAGCCTTACACACCGAATACAGCCATTTTTGGTCTCCTGAAGCCCCTTCCCACTCGTCCCATTTTTGCAAAAAATGGGCCTGTTTTTCGCAAAAACAGGGTGCGCAGAGGGTTTGGGAGGCCTGCAGAGTGCTCCTGGGAGCCACGGAGGGCAAAAACCTTTTTTTTCTTACTTACCTCTTTGTTTGTCTTATTCACCGGTGCATCTTACAGTCCAAAAAATACGGTACTTAATGGGATATTTGATTCCACACAGCAAAAGCCTTTCAAAAAAAACCCCACTCTGTTGCTCGCTAATTTGAAGTTATCGAAATGTGTCTCTCCAGCCTAGCCAGGGTTTTCCAGGAGGAAAGAACAGCCGTAGCTGTTCTCTTATTCTTGTTTCTCTTCTTTGGCAGCATATGCGAACGGGTGACGCCTCGCCTCTCTCATGCCAACTCCGCGGTTGTGCTTTCGGCTGTCAAAGTGCTGATGAAGTTCCTAGAGCTCCTTCCCAAGGATTCCGACTATTACAACATGTTGCTGAAGAAACTGGCCCCTCCATTGGTCACCTTGCTGTCTGGCGAGCCTGAAGTCCAATACGTTGCTTTGAGGAACATCAACTTGATTGTGCAGAAAAGGTCAGGTGCAGGAACCTTGTTTCAAAGGTTCTGATTGAATAACTGCATAGAAGACAGTTTTGTTTGTCCAACCTGGACGGATCCTGGTATTCTGCAACTTCAGGGATATGTTAATACAGCATTATTTAATGGCACAAATTGACTAACAAAGAGTGCACTCCTGATAAATAGCTTGAAATGCCATTAAAGGGGGAATCAGACAAATTTGGAGCACTAGTATTATTCTATTTGCAGATGACTTGATACAGCTTTTCTCACCTGCCAGATTTCCTGGTAGTTTGGATTATATCTCCCATCATTCCCAGCCAATACAATGTCTGTGCTAATTAAGATAATATAATGCAACATATTCAGAGGTGGAAGTAGCTGATGGGAAGCTGACTTGACTTGCTTTCAAATCTCCTGTCAGGCGGCATGGCAGTCCTTTAACTGGAAAACAAATGCAAATCTGCCTTTTGTCAGGAATGAACAAAAGTGCAGCTTGGCGATCATTTTAGCATGCATGCTCATTCCTTTTCCAGGCCTGAAATCCTGAAGCAGGAGATCAAGGTGTTTTTTGTGAAATACAACGACCCCATCTACGTGAAACTGGAGAAACTCGATATCATGATTCGCTTAGCATCCCAGGCCAACATTGCTCAGGTCAGTCTGGGACCCACTGGATCTCATTTCACATTTATCTAGAAAAATGTCTTTTCTATTGCTTTGCTAGTAGCTTTGCAGTTACTTGTAATCCCTGAGCCCCAAGCTTGGTGCCTTGGGGTGACATTGTGACAAATAACAGGTTTCTTGACTGTGTCCAGCTCCCTGCCTTCCTTAATTCTTCCCTCTGACAAGTCTGTATGTTGCATGACTTGAACCCAACCTAAACATTCTTAGACAATAATAAGAGTATGGTTACAGCCCACTGCTTGGGCTATGGCCATTCCTACTCTGGGAATTCTTTGATGAGAATGCCCACTATTTGGTCCCAGTATTCCAAATCTTCCCACCAGCTTAAAATGATTACAATCTCCTGCTGTAATACATTTGCAGTGTGTTTCTATTTCTTTGTAACAGGAGGTTTAGAAACATGTAACTAAGATGTTTCCCTTTTATTGGATCATATCCATGGCAGCAAGCCAATAGGGGACAAGGGCAACAAGAAATAGTACCGCACTCAGATTTGATCTGAGTTATTCTTTTTTTTAATGTATTTCCAACAGGTTTTAGCAGAACTGAAGGAGTATGCCACAGAAGTGGATGTGGACTTTGTACGCAAAGCCGTCCGTGCCATTGGACGATGTGCCATCAAAGTTGAAGTGAGAAGCTTTTTTTCTTCCCTGGTTTTGCTTTTGTGTTTTAATTGCTACAGCCGGCTGAACTTCAGTTCAGGAGATGAACTGTAAGGGTTATTCTTTGAAAACCAATAATGTTAAAAACAAAGCTGACATCTTCTATGAGGCCCAGATGTAGATCACTTGGTGTGACACACAAGCACCGCAGTCAATTCTGGTGGATTCATGATGTCAGGTGTCGGAAGATAAAGTCAAAAACAGGAGATGAGGTAGCTGCAATTGTGGGATCAAATCTCTGCCCCTTTTTCACATGCTTTGAGGTTGTTGTTGTTGTTTTCCTTTGTCACACCACCTTGTGGGGCATCCCTGCACCAAAAATATGGTTGGGAAATAGAGTATCTGAGTGTAGTAAATTCTTTTTCTTACTCATCCTAAAAGAGAACATTTTCAGCATTTTGATCTTCGCTTCACACTAAAAAACATATACGTCAGCTTTCAGTCCTTTGGGAAATCCTGTCTTTTGTTGTTCTCTCTGCTTTCAGGGCCCTTGATTTAGACAACACCGTTCAGTCAGTGGGGAACTGTTATAATTTAAAATGCATTTATCTCTGGAACAGACTGACCTCTTCTACCATTACCAAACAAACCCCCTCCCCCAACCCCCTAGCTGTTTTTCTAACAGTAAACATTATTTGATGTTTATTGAGCTTAACCGGCATAGGAGCCAATACTGGGAAATGCTTTTTCTTAGAAAAAGGGCAAATATTTGGGGGTGAATCAGGAAGATCTCATGTTCGGTTAATTCAGCAGATAGCAATTTCAAAAGGATTACTACTTAGATGACGAATTTCTACCCTGTTTCCCCCATAATAAGACATCCCCTGATAATAAGCCCAATCGGGCTTTTGAGCGCACGGCAATAAGGCAATAAGTGCTTATTCCAGGGTTCAAAAAAAATATAAGACAGGGTCTTATTTTCGGGGAAACACAGTAGTTTCTAAGACAAATAAGGGAATGCCTGGCTTTTCTGTGGGAAATGGGTACTCTGCTATTAGGCTATGCAGGTAGTTCCTGACTTACGACCACAGTTGAGCCCAATTTGGCTGTTGCTAAATGAGATAGTTCTTAAGTGAGTTTTGTCCCATGTTACGACCTTTTTGCCACAGTTATTAAGTGAATCACTGCAGTTGTTCAGTGAATCATACAGTTATTGAGCAAATCTGGCTTCCTCCATTGACTTTGCTTGCTGAGAGCTAGCCAGAAATACATGCCAGTTGCCCAGTGGTTGGATTTTGATCAAGTGACCGTGATCACAGTCATAAATTTAAAAAACTGTCATAATTCACTTTTCTGGTGCCCTCGTAACATTGAACAGTCACTAAATTAATGATTGTAAATTGAGGGCTAAGCTGTAGGGTTTTTTTTTCTTCTTAGACATGGAAACCCACCTAAATATTGTAGCATTCAAAATAAGGGAAATACTTTATTTGCCATCAGGCTGTAGTTTAGGGTTAGATAATTGGTTGAGACAGGCACGGCTTCTTTGGGGGGGGTCTCCTTATCAGAGAGGCTGATGACTAGTTCTCACTGCATTTCCTAGGGCAGTGATTCGTGTTGGACAGACTCTTGTATCAACAATGGTTTCTACTAAACCGGAATATTGAAATGTATGACAACCATGGGAAAAATGCTTGTCAGGAAAAGCTGATTAGAATAGAATAGAATAGAATAGAATAGAATAGAATATAGAATAGAAGAATAGAATAGAATAGAATAGAATAGAATATAGAATAGAATAGAATAGAATAGAATAGAATAGAATAGAATAGAATAGAATAGAATAGAATAACAGAGTTGGAAGGGACCTTGGAGATCTTCTAGTCCAACCCCCTGCTTAGGCAGGAAAACCTACACCACTTCAGACAGATGGTTATCCAACATCTTCTTAAAAACTTCCAGTGTTGGAGCATTCACAACCTCTGGAGGCAAGTTGTTCCACTGTTTAATTATTCTAGCGGTCAGGAAATTTCTCCTTAGTTCTAAGTTGCTTCTCTCCTTGATTAGTTTCCACCCATTGCTTCTTGTTCTACCCTCAGGTGCTTTGGAGAATAGCTTGACTCCCTCTTCTTTGTGGCAGCCCCTGAGATTTTGGAACACTGCTATTATATCTCCCCTAATCCTTCCTTTCATTAAACTAGACATACCCAGTTCCTGCAACCATTCTTCATATGTTTAGTTAGTTATCAATATGTATAATGTATGTGTATAGTGTATATGTATAGTGACAGGTGAGGAAAGGTAGTCCTCTCTGTCCATATGATTGGAAAGTGGCACGACGCAAAGATGCACAGTCATTCGTTCATAGACGGATAATGTGCCAAAGACAATTTCCATAACTTTAAAAGAATATGAATGGTGTTAGCAACAAAAGTATTTCGAGTATAGTATGCAATGTCCATTAATCAAATATAGACCGAATGTCATGCCACAGTTTGCCATGCAAGGATAATTTCTTGTGAATGGCTGGACCATGATCTCTGCTTTCTGATTTCTAAAAAGGGAGGTTTTTTTCATAGTGATGTGTTTTTAAGCCAGGAAATCACAAGGATTGCCTGGCTGCTGCCGCCGTTGTGGAAGAATCAGCCAACTCTGTGTCGTTGCCCAGGGGACGCCCGAGTTTAGGATTCCTACACTCTTCCAAAGCAGACAGGGTGACATATTGTGGAACAGTGCCCTCTGAGTGCTTATCGGGGAAACCCCAGAGATTTTCTGTATGCAGCCCCGTCATGTATTGACTATATAGTACAGTCTTACTTTTGAATTTATGAATACAGTAAATAGTTTCATATTTGCTCCTTGAGAACGTAATCATGATGTGCTTTTTAACATTTTTGCCATGTACTAAATCAAGGGTGCCAAACTTGATTTCATTGAGGGCCACATCAGGGTTGTGTTTGACCTTAGGGGGCCGAGGTGAGCGTGGCTGGGGTGGGCATGGCCAACTCAACATCATTTGTGTCGGGGGTGCCTGTGGTGGCCCAAGCGCTCTGCCAGTGAAAATGGGAGTTCGAGCTCCGTTTTTGGCTACGACGGCCTCCTGCAACCCTCTGCCAGCAAAAACAGAGCTCTGTTTTTGCTGGCGGAGGGTTGCAGGTGGCCGTCACAGCCAAAAATGGAGCTTGGAAACCCATTTTCACTGGCAGAGGCACCACGGGCCGGTCCTTTGCTGTTTCCAAGGCGGCCCTGTGGGCCAGATCTAAGCACCCTGTGGGTCGGATCCAATCCCCGGGCCTTGAGTTTGATACCCCTGCACTAAATAAATAAATAAATCCAAACAGGGAATGGATGCGATACATGTAGGTGAAGTTATAGAATTGTAAGGCATATCCTTACAATTTGTACTCGAGCTGACTTTCTACTTGAAGATCTGTTCTGCTTCTATCCTTTTTGACAGCAATCTGCTGAGCGCTGCGTGAGCACCCTTCTGGATCTCATCCAGACCAAGGTCAACTATGTGGTGCAGGAAGCCATCGTGGTCATCCGAGACATCTTCCGCAAGTATCCCAACAAGTAAGTACAGCTACCGAATGAAGTGTGCAGCAGCAACCTTGCCGATACTAATTGTGGCTGGCCTAAGGGGTGCCAATTTGTATGGCCTTCAGGCAACCTAGTGGATGAACACCTGAACAAGTAGGGACAGGACAACTTAATTTGAGAAAAATCAGGTGGCATTGATTAAATATTCAGAATCACAAAGGGGGGAGCAGAATTTGTTTAGTCCAACACCAGTTCCATTAGAGCAGGGGTTCACAACCAGGGGTGCTCGCACCCCCTGGGGGTGTGAGACGATATTCCAAGGGGTGTGAAAATTTGGGTTTAGAAGTTTCTAAATTATAGCGTATATCTATAATTATATGCATGTAATTATTTACTTTTGTAAGGGGTGCAAGAGTATTTCAGAAGCATTGTAGGGGTGTGGGGTATAGAAAAGGTTGGGAACCCCTGCATTAGAGCATTTCTGACAGATGACCAGTCATACATCCTGTACAAAAGAACTCAATGCTTCATGTGGCAACCTGTACTACAAATCGACAGCTTATACAATCAGGAAGTTCGTCATGACGTCTAGGCTGAACTTTATGGTTTTAACCCATTGGTTCTGGTCCTTCCCTCTGGGGCAGTAGAGAATAATCTCACTTGCATTTAATAGCTTTTTAGAGTCTTCATCATATTTGCTCTTGGTCATCTCTTCTGTATACAAAATGCACTTAGATACATTAAATGTTCTTCAAAGAGCTTGGTATACCCAGACGTCTTACCATTTCGGTAGCTCTCTTTTGAACTTGTTCCAATTGGTCAATATCCTTTTTAGACTAGAGCAGTGATGGCTAACCTTTTTGCCATTGCGTGCCAGGAGATGGGGGGGCGGGGGAGGTTCACATGCGCGGGTGCCCACACCCATAATTCTATGCGCCCTGCCCTGCACATGCGTGTGCAACCCCCCTCCCGCTCCTGGCACGTGATGGCCAAGTAGGCCCGTTTTTTTTTCTTACCTGGCTCAGATCCTCTCTATGCATCTGGGAAGGGTGAAAAGAGCCTTTCCCACTCCCTCAGAGGCCCGAAACGGCCCATTTCCCAACTCCTGGTGGGACAGGAAGTGACATTTTTTACTGTCCCCAGCCTCCAGAGCCTCTCTAGGAGTCTCTGGAGGCTTGGGACAGCAAAAAAATGTCACTTCTTGTCCCACTGGGAGTTGGGAAATGGGCCGTTTCAGGCCTTTGGAGGGCCTCTGAGGGAGTGGGAAAGGCTGTTTTCGCCCTCCGCAGATGAATAGAGAGGATCTGGAGCCAGGTAAAAAAGAAAAACAGGCCTCCCCCCCCCCGCCGCCCCTCCGGAGGCAGGAAACAGCCTGTTTCCCTACTCCTGGTGGGCCCAGAAGGCCTGAAAATCAGCTGGCCAGCACACTCATGCGCCCCAGAGCTAGAGAGCGGTTGGAAGGCCAGCCGGTCCGAATCTGACTTGACACTGGTAAGGTCTCATATGATAAAATCTAGCTATTTTGCCACTCTTATCGCGTCATCAGATAATCGCCCAGCCGCCCTGTTTAGGGTGACCCGCTCCCTCCTCCATCTGGGAGTGCGGGATGACCCCTTGCAGGGTCGAGCTGAGGATTTTGTACAATATCTGTATGATAAAATAACTCAGATTCGGGAAGACATGGCCGCTAACTGGGTTAGTTCAGACGAGATGACTGAGGCAGGTCTTGAGAGTGTTATCTGGGAGGAGTTTGATCCTGTGGCTCCCAAGGACATGGACAGGATCTTGGGACGGCTGAACGCGACCACATGTTTATTGGACCCGTGTCCCTCCTGGTTGATGCTGGCTTCCCGGGAGGTTACACGGGGCTGGCTCCAGGGGATTATTAATGCTTCTTTGAGTGAGGGTGTCCTGCCGGCCACCTTGAAAGAGGCGGTGGTGAGGCCCCTCCTCAAGAAGCCCTCTCTGGATCTGGCTGTTTTGGCTAACTATCGTCCAGTCTCCAACCTTCATTTTATTGCAAAGGTTGTTGAGAGTATGGTGGCGCGGCAGCTTCCCCAGTACCTGGATGAAGCTGTCTATTTGAACCCGCTCCAGTCCGGTTTCAGGCCTGGGTACATCACGGAAACAGCATTGGTCGCGTTGGTGGATGATCTCTGGAGGGCTCAGGGTAGGGATTATTCCTCTATCCTGGTCCTGTTAGATCTCTCAGCGGCTTTTGATACCATCGACCATGGTATCATGTTGCGCTGGTTGGAGGGATTGGGGGTGGGGGGCACTGTTTTGCGGTGGTTCTCCTCCTATCTCTCCGACCGGTCGCAATCTGTGTTGACAGGGGGGCATCGGTCGACCCCGAGGCGCCTTGTTTGTGGGGTGCCACAGGGGTCGGTCCTCTCGCCCCTCCTGTTCAACATTTATGTGAAGCCGCTGGGTGAGATCATCCGTAGTTTTGGGATGGAGTTCCATCAGTACGTTGATGACACTCAGCTATACATCTCCACCCCAGACCATCCCAACGATGCCTTGGAAGTGATGTCCCAGTGCTTGGAGGCCGTGCGGGTCTGGATGGGGAGAAATAGGCTTCAACAGGCTTCGACTCAACCCTTCCAAGACCGAGTGGCTGTGGCTGCCGGCATCCTGGTATAGCCAGCTGGTGCCATCGTTGATTATTGGGGGCGAATCACTGGCCCCCACGGAAAGGGCCCGCAACTTGGGCATCCTCCTGGATGCACGGCTGTCTTTAGAAGAGCATACGACGGCGTGGCCAGGGGGCCTTTCTATCAGGTTCACCTGATACACCAGTTGCGCCCCTTTCTGGATCGGGACTCCTTACGCACGGTCACTCAAGCATTCGTCACTTCTTGTCTGGACTATTGTAACCCTCTCTACATGGGGCTCCCTTTGGGGTGCACCCAGAGGCTCCAACTGGTGCAAAATGCGGCCGCGCGGGGGATTATGGGAGCGATGGGGCGCTCCCATGTGACACCTCTCTTGTGCGAGCTGCATTGGCTTCCGGTGGACTTCCGGGTACGCTTCAAGGTGTTGGTGACCGCCTTTAAAGCACTCCATGGCTTAAGGCCGGGGTACTTATGGGACCACCTTCTGTCACCAATTGCCTCCCACCGGCCACTTCGCTCCCACAGAGAGGGCCTCCTCAGGGTGCCATCGGCCAGACAATCTCAGTTGGCGATCCCCAGGGGGAGAGCCTTCTCTGTGGTAGCACCTACCCTCTGGAACAATCTACCCCCAGAGATATTTATTTATTTATTTATTTATTATATTTCTATACCCCCTTTCTCCCGTAGGACTCAAGGCGGTGTACAGTCAAGAAAAATATAGACACACAAACATCATAAAATTGCTAATTAAAATTATTACTTAGTTTGGTCAATTAAATAAAACCCAGAATTAGATAACATTAAAAAAAAAAAATCATTCACATGTTCATATGTTTAGCCCCGCCTGTTGAAACATCAGGGTCTTGAGGGCACGGCGGAAAGCACGGAGATAGGGATATTGCTTATCTCCGGGGGCAGTTCATTCCAAAGGGTTGGAGCCCTCACAGAGAAGGCCCTTCCCCTGGGAGTCGCCAGTCGGTATAATTTGACTGACGGTACTCTGAGTAGTCCCTCCCTGTGAGAACGAACTGATCGGTGGGAGGCTATTGGTGGCAAAAGACGGTCTCGTAGGTACCCAGGTCCTAAGCCATGGAGCGCTTTAAAGGTGATAACTAACACCTTGAATCGCACCCGGAAGACCACCGGGAGCCAGTGCAGCTCGCGTAGGAGAGGTGTTACATGGGCGTTACGAGCTGCGTCCATAATCACCCGCGCGGCTACATTCTGGACCAATTGGAGCCTCTGGGTGCTTTTCAAGGGGAGCCCCATGTAGAGAGCATTACAGTAGTCCATATGGGAGGTAATTAGGGCATGAGTGACCGTGCGCAAGGCGTCCCGATCCAGAAAGGGACGCAACTGGCGGATCAGGCAAACCTGATAAAAGGCACCCCTGGCCATGACCGTCAAATGATCTTCTAAAGATAGCCGTGAATCCAGGAGGACACCCAAGTTGCGAGCCCTCTCTGTGGGGAGCAAGATCTCATCCCCTATTGTCAGTGATGGTACCAGCTGACTATACCGGGACGCCGGAAGCCACAGCCACTTGGTCTTGGAGGGGTTGAGTCTGAGCTTGTTTCTCCCCATCCAGATCCGCACGGCCTCCAGGCAACGGGACATCACAGCAAGGGCATTATTGGGGTGGTCTGGGGTGGAGATGTATAGCTGTGTGTCATCAGCATACTGATGAACACTCACCCCGAAACCACGGATGATCTCGCCTAGCGGTTTTACATAAATGTTGAACAAAAGGGGTGAGAGGACTGACCCCACAAATAAGGTGCCTTGAGGTCGACCTCTGTCCCCCTGCCAACACAAACTGCGAACGGTCAGAGAGGAAGGAGGAGAACCACCGAAGCACGGTGCCCCCTATTCCTAACTCCTCCAGCCGGTGCAGTAAGATACCATGGTCGATGGTATCAAAAGCCGCTGAGAGATCTAATAGGACCAGGATAGAGGAGCAACCTCTGTCCCGAGCCCTCCAGAGATCATCCACCAACGCAACCAATGCCGTTTCTGTGCTGTACCCCTGCCTGAAGCCCGACTGGTATGGGTCCAGATAGACAACTTCATCCAGGTATCGGGATAGTTGTCGCGCCACCACACTCTCAACAACCTTTGCAACAAAGCGAAGATTGGAGACTGGACGATAATTTGATAATATAGCCGGGTCCAGGGAAGGCTTCTTGAGGAGGGAAGGGCTTCTTTCAAGGCTGCGGGAAAGACACCCTCACTCAGAGAAGCATTTATAATCCCCTGGAGCCAGCCTCGTGTAACCTCCCGGGAGGCCAGTACCAACCAGGAGGGACACGGGTCCAATAAACATGTGGCAGCGTTAAGCTTGCCCAGAATCCTGTCCACATCCTCAGGAGCCACAGAGTCAAACTCTTCCCAGATAACGCTCTCAAGACCTGCCCCCATCTCCTCCCCTGGATCTACCCAATCGGAGTCCAGGCCTTCCCGAATCTGAGCGACTTTATCATGCAGGAATTGCACAAAATCCTCAGCTTGACCTTTTAAGGGATCTTCCTGTACCCCCACCTGAAGTAGGAAGCGGGTCACCCTAAACAGTGCGGCTGGGCGGTTCTCTGCAGATGCAATAAGAGCGGAGAAGTAGCTAGACTTCGCCGCTCTTATCACCACTAGGTAGGTCTTAATATAAGATCTCACCTGTGTTCGGTCAGATTCAGATCGGCTTGTCCTCCAGTCGCTCTCCAGGTGTCTTTTCCGATGCTTCATCTCTCTCAGCTCCTCGGAAAACCAAGGAGCTAGACGAGATCGGCATCGGGTCAGAGGCCGCAAAGGCACGACGCGGTCCAAGGCCCCAGTAGCTGCCCTGTTGCAGGCGACCACCAGGTCCTCAGTCGAGTCGTGAGCCAGAGTCTCAGAAAATGGCCCAAGCTCCATCAGGAACCTGTGATATGAGTGATCCCAGACCTCTGGACTTTTCGTCGGGCCCTAAAAACCTACTTTTTCCAGTTAGCCAGGCTGGCCTGATTCCATGTTGGTTTAAACGTTTGATACTGATTTTTAATTGAAATGTTTTAAATTATGGGCCAAATTTCATTTAATTATTTTTAAAAATTATTTTAACTTTTGTGTCCAAATGTTTTTATTTTGGCTGTTCACCGCCCTGAGTCCGAAAGGAGAAGGACGGTATACAAATCTAATAAAAGATAAAAAAGATAAAGAGTTGAGCTGGCATGCCCACTGATATGGCTATGCGTGCCATCTGTGGCATGCGTGCCATAGGTTTGCCATCACAGGACTAGAGTATCCAGAATTGGACACAATACTACAGGTTATATCTGGCCAGGGCAAAATAGATTGGAAAAATTATTTTTAATTTGCCTTTTTAGCATCTGAATTACAGAGCTGGTCAACAAAGATAACTAGTTTCCTCTGACATGTACCACTGCTAAAACCTAATCTGTATTTGCTCAACTCATCTACATGTCTCATCTACACTAGTAATAGATGACCTGAAATACTAATAATTAGTTGAGAACTGGAAAGCAAGCATGGGACACACTGGGATGGGGTGCTTTGCAGAGGCTTGAAGCAGACAAAGGAAGCTACTTGATAAACAGAGGGTAGGGGATTATTAAAGCGGATGTAACAATTGTTAAAACCAGGATCTGAAGACCTTGGAGCAAAAGGAGGGTGAGTGCAAGGTTTGTTTTGGGAGACAAAAAACGGAGAACATAAGAAGGTTTGATAATAATAACCCTATCCAATTCTGCCTTGGTTAAATTAGGTACGAGAGTATCATTGCCACACTTTGTGAAAACCTTGATTCTCTGGATGAGCCAGATGCCCGAGCAGCTATGATCTGGATTGTGGGCGAATATGCAGAGAGAATTGACAATGCAGACGAGCTCTTGGAGAGCTTCCTGGAGGGCTTCCATGACGAAAGCACCCAGGTAATACTGATCTCTCCTTATTCCTGTCTCAGTTCTTTTGAAGGAAGAATCTGGGCCCTTGATTTCAGCAGCTTGATTCTGGCCAAAAGCTTGCCCATGTTTCTCTTTCCCCAAGCTGTTGCTTCTCCACTGTGCTGCTTCTCTACTACCCTGTTTCCCTGAAAATAATACATCCCCTGATAATAAGCCCAATCGGGCTCTTGAGCGCATGCACTAAAATAAGCCTCCCCCCCCCCCGAAAATAAGCCCTCCCTGAAAATATTTAAACGCAGAGCTGGAAATCAGGTAAGACGGCAAGAGGAGCCCTATCTTGCTTCACGTGGCCCAAAATAATAAGACCTCCCCGAAAATAAGGCCAAGCGCTTATTCGGGGTTCAAAAAAATATAAGACAGGGTCTTATTTTCGGGGAAACACAGTATGTGCTCCTAAACCTCTGCTGGTGCAACTTTTTCCTATTTGCCTTCTGGACATGTCCAACTGTCCCTAATTCTCAGCATCCGGGGAAGTGTTTGCTTTTCATTAACTGTTTTAATGAAAAGACAGAACTGGGATTTCATCTTTGTGGCAACATATCTGCCAAATTCCAAGTACGTTCATATCTTTGACTTCAGCAGACAGCTGTCACGTCATCCCTCAAGGTATTTAAAAATAGCTTTGCAATGTAATCAGGATATTATCTCGACAGAGAACGGTCTGCCTTGGTTAATTGTATTTACTGACTCAGCTTTGTTCTTGCTTCTCAGCAACTGATCAGAACATCTCTCCCCCCCCCCATTTTTTTTTCATGCCTCAGCATTACTTTCCCCCTGCAAAGTTCTTTGCATTAATCTATAACTCAGGTTCCTTTGAGTCTGCCCATCTCTCTTACTTTTGTGTGGTTGTGTAGCTTATGCAGAAGCCTCAGTAGTGTATAATGGGACATCCTGGTTTAGAACAATATGGCCTAAGTACCAGCTGCTCAGGGGTAAATATGGAAGATCTGGTTTTTTTTCCTCCCAGACTTGCTTATTGCTACCTGGAGACATTAGATTGGTTGGCAATTGGGGCAAGCAGGATGCTAGGTTAAATTTAGAGCTGATCCCATAAGGCTTCTTTTCTTTGTTAATTGCAGGAAGAGCTGCATCACACAGATGCTTAACCTTTCTGTCTTTCTTTAAACCTTATATCCCATTGAAGGCAATATTCCCCAAGATCAGCTGGTACTGGAAATGTAATTTGTCCATCAGAAACCTTTCCCATTTCTTTGTTCTTGCTTTTCCTCCAGGTGCAGCTCACTTTGTTGACTGCCATTGTAAAGCTATTTTTGAAGAAGCCGTCTGAAACACAGGAACTGGTCCAGCAAGTGCTGAGTCTTGCTACTCAGGTAAGGCACAGACCCTGTTCACCTATACTTCCTACGCTGAAAAGTGTTAGCATCAGTGTTATACCATCAAAATGTCCTCCCAATGCTTGGTTACTTATATTGTCTGCAGTAACATTGGAACCATATTGCATCTTCCCTTTCCATTGGGTTGCTGGTAACATTTGAATAATATCAACATGGAATGTGTGGCTCATTTCCATGCCATTATCTGTACAACACAGTCCTTTCAGCAGTTCCAAGAACGCTCCACACCCATTTGCACTACTCAGGTGACCTTGAGGACACAGATAAACCTCCAAGTAGCCTCAAGGACTCACTAAAAGAATGCAAATGACCAGCTGTCTGCAAGGAACATAAATCCTTCCATTCCCCACCATCCAGTCAGACCTGAGCAAGCTTCTTAGATGAGAAGTGAAACATCTTCAAAGAAAAACCAGAAAGGACAGTTGCCCCTTGAAAAAGGCACCTTTGAGTGCTGGTAGTTTCTTATAAAGCCCTTAGTGGCATGACGCAAGGTTATTTGAGAGACTGCCTTTCCTAATTCTATTAAATCCAGCAGGAGAGGCATGCTACATGACCCATTAAAAGGTGCCATCTGGCAGGATTTAGGAGGAGAGCCTTTTTTTGTTATGGCATCTGTTCTTTGGAACATCATCTCTCCATAGATTAAAGTAGCCTGACCCAATTGGCCTTGAAAATGTTCCTGTGGGCACTGGGCACGAGGGTTGGAATATGAGGCAAAGCCATGAGATGGTTATGGTGATAAGTTTGTGGAAGAGAGAACCTGCGGCCCTTCATATGCTGCTGTATATTAGTCTCCAGTAGTCCAGCTAATGGTAAGAAGTGCTGTGAGTCATAATTTAATGACATCCAAGGGAACAGAAACCTTCTATGACTGTTAAACCATATTATAGAAACCATGAGTTTAAAAGTTACACTGCTCCAGAACCTATTAGGGAGACCATAATTTATATGTGAAGAATCCAAAATAGAAAATAGAATATACCTCCACAAGTTTCAGGAACCAACTAAATAGTATAGTTTATACTATAGTATTTTATACTTGATAGTATAAAATATACTTCTAAATATTGACATCGTAATAGCTTCTCACTGATAGCTCCTAAAATCACAACCCCAAGGGGGCATCTGTACTTTCCTGTTATTGGGCATTCATATGATGAATGGTATGGTTTTTAAAACTCCATTAAAGAGCACAAATTTCCAGAAATAAAGAAGGACCAGAACAGAACATGATGACCAAAACCAACATTTTGCAATTAAGTTTACATGAGTTGGCATAGCTTGACTGATGAGTCAGTGTATACTCAGCGAACAAAACTTAACTTTGTGTTCCAGCAGCTTTCTTTCTTTGTTTCTTTAATAACTGTACCACTTCAGTCCAAGAAGAGACTGTGCCAGTGCCTTATCTAATAGGGAGTAGCCATTTTCACTGTCCTTATAGCTGCTCCCAAAGAGTCTGTAAAGATTAACAGATTAACAGAGTTGGAAGGGACCTTGTAGGTCATCTAGCCCCCCCCCCCCCCCCCGCCCAAGCAGGAGACCCTACACCATTTCTGACAGATGGCAGTCCAATCTCTTCTTGAAAACTTCCAGTGATGAAGCTCTCACAACTTCTGAAGGCAAGCTGTTCTCGTAGATTGTTTTCACTGTCAGAAAATTTCTCCTTATTTCCAGGTTGAATCTCTCGTTAAGTTTCCATCCATTATTCCTTGTCTGGCCTTCGGGTGCTTTGGAAAATAGCTTGACCTCCTCCTCAAATATTGGAACACTGCTATCATGTCTCCCCTGGTCCTTCTCTTCACTAGACTAGCCATGCCCAGTTCGTGCAACCGTTCATTGTATGTTTTAGCCTCCAGTCCCCTAATCATCTTGGTTGCTCTTCTCTGCACTCTTTCTAGAGTCTCAACATCTTTTTTATAGTGTGGCCAAAACTGGATGCAGTATTCTAGATGTGTACTAAGGCTTTATAGAGTAACATTAGTACCTCCCTTGATCTTGATTGTATCCCTCTGTTACTGCAATTTAGGATTGCATTGGCTTTTTTGGCTGCCTCTGCACACTGTTGGCTCAGATTTAATTAGTTGCCCACTAAGACTCCACGATCCCTCTCACAGTTACTGCTATTAAGCCTGGTTTCACCCAGTCTATATGTGTACTTTTGGTTTTTCTTACCTAACTGTAAGACTTTACTTTTCTCTACATTGAGTTTCATTTTGTTAGATAGAGCCCAGTGTTCAAGTCTGTCAAGATCCATCTGGATCTTGAGCCTATCATCTTTCTTGTTTTTTCCTTCCCAGAACATTAAATAAAATCTATAGGTCCAGTGCTCCCACAGTCTGGAGCAGGAATCTGTCAACTTCTCATCCCTATTTAAATCATACAACAGAGGGACAGGGAAGGAGCTGGAACCGGCTCCCTTTACACCACTTCTACACCTCCATTCTTGTGCCAACTGTTAACATCGCAACTAACCATGCCCTCTGCACTTAATCCATTTAAACACAATTGTGCAAACAAAACCATAAAGGGTAATACTCTCACTTTGGACAACATTGTTGAAATTTGTAAAACACTACTGTGTTTCCCCAAAAATAAGACCCTGTCTTATATTTTTTTAAACCCTGAAATAAGTGCTTGGCCTTATTTTCGAGGAGGTCTTATTATTTTGGGGTGCGTGGAGCAAGACAGAGCTCCTCTAGCCGTCTTACCTGATTCCCAGCTCTGTCTCCCTAACCCTAACCAGAGGAAATGGCAGGGACCGGTTGCACATGCATTTAAATATTTTTGGGGAGGGCTTACTTTCAGATGGGCTTATTTTAGCACATGTGCTCAAAAGCCCGATTGGGCTTATTATCAGGGGATGTCTTATTTTCGGGGAAACAGGGTACATTTTTTAAAAAGAACTCTAAGCCTGCTAAAAAGTAACTTTTAAAAGTTTATTTAGAAGTGAAAAGAGGCTTTACAAACTGTTCTTCTTTAAGCCAAGGGTTTCAAACAGTTTCAGGTTAAAGAACTTGCGAGTTTTTTTTTTTTTAAAAAAGCCAGAATCTTTGATCAAGCTTTAGTGATTAAAAACAACGGCTGCATTTGAGTAAACTTTTTTCCCTTTAGTTTCTCATGGAGCCTTTGTCCCATGGAACACAGATATAAACTTTTACAGACAGAACTTTTTATCACTGAAAAGTCCCATTCTGGGGTGCTCAGTCTTGTGTAATCTTATTAAGCCTCAGGTATGTGAGGAATGTTTGTGATTTTTCTGTAGAGAATATTAAATGTCCCCAAAACTTACTTTTGACCTTAGATTCCTGTGCATTCTTTTCCACTTCACTCTCGGTATTCCTCTGTCAAAGGTTGTTCCAAATCGGTATCCATTAACAGACAACCTTTTTCTGCCTCAGGATTCTGATAACCCAGATCTACGTGACCGTGGCTACATTTACTGGCGACTCCTCTCCACAGACCCTGTCACTGCCAAGGAGGTAGTTTTGTCAGAGAAGCCCCTGATCTCTGAAGAGACCGATTTGATCGAGCCCACTTTGCTGGATGAGCTCATTTGCCACATTGGTTCGTTGGCATCAGTATATCACAAACCACCCAATGCCTTTGTGGAAGGCAGCCACGGAATCCACCGCAAACACCTGCCTATCCATCACGGAAGGTAAGAGAGAGACAGAATGACTTTGTGAGTTATTTGCTTTTTAAAAGTCCATATATAATTACTCTGTCCTGATGCCCTTACAATTTTATGTGGCCGGTTTGTTATAACAAAATTTAAAAACAAACTCACCATTCACATGAACATGGAAACAATACAGGTAGTCCTCTACTTATGACCACAGTTGAGCCCAAAATGTCTGTTGCTAAGTAAATCAATTGATGTGAATTTTGCCCCATTTTTTGACTTTCTTGTTACAGTTGTTAAATGAATCATTGCAGTTGTCCCAAATGTGCTTTTTCAGGAGGCAACTGGACGTTCTTGTTTTTTCTTTTGAAGACATTTCCCTTCTCATCCAAGAAGCTTCTTCAGCTCTAACAGGATAGTGGGGAATGGAAGGATTTATATTCCTTGCAGACAGCTGGTAACCTTTTGGTGGGTCGTTGAAGCACTTGGAGATTTATCTGTATCCTCAGGGTCACCTGAGTAGTGCTCCTGGTTCCTGTAGTCTGCAATTTTTCCTCTGGAAATCCATTCCTACTCCCACACCATTCAAAGGGTGTTCATCCAAAATTGTATTGCTAAAAGTCTGTAGAGATTCTCAGTCATCCAGGTTATGGCTGTCCCAAAGGAAACGTCTTCAAGAGAAAAAAATGAGAAAGTCCCATTGCCTCCTAAAAAAGCACCTTTGAGACAACTATAATCTGCATGACTGAGAATCTCTACAGACTTTTAGCAAACACTGCAGTTGTTAACTTAGTAGCATGGCTGTTAAGTGAATCTGGCTTGCCCATTGACTGCTCGTCAGAAGGTTGCAAAAGTGACTTTGGGACACTGCATCCGTCATAAAATAACATGCCAGTTGCCAAGCCTCTGAATGTTGATCACGTGACAATATTTGTAAGTGTGAAAAACAGTCATTGTGCCATTGTTAACTTCGAACGATCACTAAATGAATGGTTGTAAATCGAGGACTATCCGTATTACACATGGGAAGAAAGTTCATAAGCAGTCACATAATTAATATCTTACCAGAAAATGTGAGACATACAGGAAACATTGCAGTAATCAGGATAGGTCATAAACAGTCACATCCAAGTAGTCCTTCTCTTAAGACCATAATGGAGCCAATGTCAGGGTTCCAAGTAATAGATCTATTGCAAGCAAAAACTCCAAGGCAGGTGGATTCCTCAAAGAATAGCTTTGTTGGAAATATCATGTTGACACATATCTGGTGAAAACTAACTCTGAGGGGCCCCTTGGTTTTCACCTAATTAAAAGGAAAAGTTTCCCCCCCCATCCCGAACAATCAGTCACATGACCCAATCAAAGCAGCATCCACTGCAGCATGACATCATTCCTCCTTCCTCTGGCCAGGTGTGAGAACATCCTCCCAAGAGAAAGTATTTTGACTACACAAGCCCAGCTATCTCTAATCCCTCCTCCCTATCCAGCGGTGCGTTTCAGATTATGTTACTACTGGTTTGCCCTGCACACATGCGCCCAGTTTGCACAGGTGCATGCTTTCCGCACATGCGCCCAGCCTTCCGTGCATGCGCCCAGCCTTCCGTGCATGCGCCCATCATAAAAAAACCGTGCCTAAATAGGGTGGCATAGAACCAGGGCGGGCAATTTCCGCTATCAGTTCGGGTGAACCGGCTGAATACCACCCTATCCCTTGCTCCAGTGTGGCAGCACTGAAGCTCCAAGATGGCTTCAGCCAGGTCAGCTTCAGGGTTGTCAGTCGGTTGTTAAGCAAACTGATGGTTTACAGTTTTGCCAAAAAGCAGACGTTAATGTTGACTTTTGGCAAAACTGTCATAAAACGTGGTCCAGCGACTGCAGGATGCCTCAAACAGTATTAAATGCAGAGCATCCAAAATGCAGTCACATGACCCAGCGGTGGGGAGCAGGGGGAGAGCGACTGTCAGAATTTTGAATCCAGGTTGTAAGTACCCCCGGGTAGGGCTATCAGAACTTCAAACAATTGCTAAGCGACTGGTCCTAAGTCGAGGAGTATCTGTAATTTATTCATTGAATCGGTATGCTGCCCATCTCACCCTACAAAGCAGCTCTGGGCAGCTTGCCAAAAAAATGTGAGAATGTGCCTGGACATGTTGGCTGAATCAGGGCTGAGGAACTTGTGATGCAGAAGATAATGTTGCCCTCCAATTCCCTATGGCCTAAGTAATGGTGAGGAAACCTGGGAGTTGTTGTTTAGCAACACCTGGAAGCCCACAAGTTTCCCTTGCTTGCTTTGGGTGAATGTTCTTCCCAAGCTATTTGGCAGGTTATTAATTCCACAGCTGCCCCTGTTCTTTTACAATGACCAAATGGCCCTGTTTAAAATTTTCAGTTCATTATTTTAATATTGGAGTTTATTTGCCCAGTGTTTTATTCTGTGTTTCAATGGCTTTGTATATTGGGTAGATATTTATGGAATTCAATATTTCTTTTAAAGAAATAGCAGTTGTTTGCCATCAAATTATTTTACAGTTCACACCCCTCTTGCAAGGGTTATTTTTACAAGAATACTTGCACTGCAAAATCTGTCTAGAGCAGCTTGCCTGAGAAAGTCTTTTGTGTTGCTCTCTTCTTTGACAGTGAAACCAAGTAACTCTGTTTTCTCCCCCCCCCCTCCAAAACGCCTTTAGTACTGATGCAGGCGACAGCCCTGTGGGAACCATGAGTGCTACAAACCTGGAGCAACCTCAGGTGATTCCATCCCAAGGAGATCTCTTGGGTGACCTCTTGAACCTTGACCTGGGGCCTCCAGTGAATGTTCCCCAAGTGTCTTCCATGCAGATGGGTGCTGTGGACCTTCTAGGAGGTGGACTTGATAGCCTGGTGAGTAAGCATGGTTTTTGCTGAACATGGGCTAACATTCTTAGTGATGAGTGTGAGTGTGAATGAGTGAGTGAGTGAATGAGTGAATGAATGAATGAATGAATGAATGAATGAATGAATGAATGAATGGTTTAGCTCTATAGTACCAAAAACCTAGGCTGCTGGCAATCTTCTTTTCCTCTATGTTAAAGAATTGCTGGGATCTTAGATCCAAGTACCACTTGGAGGAGGCGAAGATGTTTGCCTTCTTTCTGCTCCTTTTCAGTTTTGCAGATTACAAGTTATCAAGTTTACTGCTTCCTTTACTTGCTTATTTGGGGTACTGCTGGGTGGCTTTGTTGATTTGTTTGTTTGTTTGTTTATATCCTGCCTTTACTATCTTCCCAAATACACAGAGAAGGTAAGGAAAAATTAAGCGACGTTGTGGAAAATGTTGGTAGTGCATTTTTAAGAGATTCGTGGTCTGATCCCAGCAGAAACAAGGAGCATGGCTGTGTTGTGTTTGTGTTCCTGGCTAGATGCTAGCAGAGAAGAGAGGAAAAAATGCTCCTGGTTTTTAGCATTAGGTACATGTTTCATACAATATTAGCATCACCCCTGGCAACTTTGGTTCGTTGTGTCAGTGCCTTATAATAATGTATTGTAACAGAGGCTGTTATTTTGCATAACAGCAGGGAAGAGCAGGCATGGGATCCATAAGAACAAAGCTAGGACACAGTGTAGACCCATTACGTGAAACCATATCATGAGCTGTTTATTGTGCATTAGTTTGTGGGTGAACCAGTTGTAAGGAAGAGACCATAGTTTATGAACCAAAGTTGATCAATTAGCCCGTAATGCTAAGTTTGGAACAAAAATCTCACAGTCCTACCATAACCGCCTTTTCTTTTTGTAACATTGCTCAGCCTTGCTTTTAGCAATATATGGTTTGTCCTTGCTACTGGTATATTCAACAATGATGGTTGAATGACACTAGAAACCATTATTGTGGGGGCAGACTCTGGATGTGACATATAATATATATATATTTGTAATTTTTGACCCTCCATTAGCTTTTGCATATATTAGAATCTTCTATAAAATGCTTTAACTATAATAACTGTGGTAAGTAAATGGAGTTACCATGCTAATTCTAAAAAGTGACAATTTGACAGTGTGGCTGGGCGGATGGCAGATGGACAGACAGACAGATACCGTAGCTCAGGGGTGTCAATCTCGATTTCATTGAGGGCCACATCAGGGTTGTATTTGACCTTGGGAGTCCAGGTGGGCATGGCCAGGGTGGGAGTGGCCAATTCGACATCACTCGTGTCGGAGCCGCCTGTGGCAGCCCGAGCGCTCTGCCAGCGGAAACGGGCTCCCAAGCTCTGTTTTTGGCCACAACTGCCTTCTGCAACCTTCTGCCAGCAAAAATGGAGCTCGGGAGAGCCTTCACTGTTTCCAGGGCAGTCCTGCAGGCCAGATCTAAGCACCCCGTGGGCTGGATCCAGGCCTCAGGCCTTGAGTTTGACACCCCTGCTATAGATAGATGGATGGATGAATGGATGGATGGATGGATGGATGGATGGATGGATGGATGGATGGATGGAAAGATAGATAATAAATGTGAGTCAGTTGTCAAGCATCAGAATGTAAATCATGTGACCATAGGAATGCTGCAACGGTCATAAGTGTGAAAAATGGTTTTAAGTCACTATTTTCAGTGCCGTTGTAACTTTGAAAGGTCACTAAACAAACTGTTGTAAGTCGAGGACTACCTCTATAGTTAAACCTACTATCCCATCAGTTAGCTGTGGCCTGGATACAGGATGGATGATTTGTGTTTCACAGAATTGGACAAACAACCTAATGACTTTCAATTCCCAACCCTCCTCCTCATTGCAACAAATGATGAGGAACCCCCTTCCACCACCGCTAGGCAACCACAGCTAGTTTATTGCATTTCCAAACTTTTTTTTTTTTTTTTTGCAACACCCTAGGAATTTATTTGCATGTTTAGCACAATATGATATTTCCAGCAAGCTGATATCTATTACCTAGTTTTATGATCTGGACCTTCCTGCAGAGGTGTAGCAGTTCACGTTGATGCTTAGATCCCCATATTTAGCAAGCAAGCTTCAGTCTCATGTCCAGTGCATATGTATAGAATTGCCTGTGCGCTGTCCAGACGCTTGTCTCGCACTCTGCAGCAAGGCATTTCTGGGTAACCTTTAGCTCTCTGATAAAATCCAACTGTTTCTTAGAAAGTATATTAAGGCTTCTCAAACAGCTTTCAACTGCTTGGAGGCCCCGTGCTCCTGAGATGCTTAAGACTTTGAACACAACCTCAGGGGTACCTGAGATTTGGCTCCTCAATGATAGGACTTCAGTGGTGGGTTGCCCCCGGTTCGGACAGTAGTAAAACCGGTGGGAGGCCCCACCCACCGCCCTGGATGTTGTCATCGGCGATCTGCGCATGAAGATCCCGTTGTAGTAAAGGTAAGTAGAACCCACCCCTTCAGGACTTACATGTTTCACGTATTATTGCAAGATGTTGGCAACATCATGGCAATGATTGGCTCACTTTGATGTGGGTTTTCAGTGGAAACCAGGCCCATAAGGTTTTAGCAGATTTCTGGAATTAAGCCTTATAATATGGAAAGAATCTCTTCTTGTCAAGTGAACTCTCAGAGTAGCAGATCCTCTACCTCAGCGGTTCTTTAGGTGGCAGCCAAATCAAAAAATGTCAAGCGAAAGAACAAAGGAAGAGGAAAGCTAGGCAGAGTTTGCAACTTCGTTATTTGTCAAGGTATCTGCAGTCTTCCTGATGTCCTATCTAGAAGCTGCCACCACATCCACCGTGAGGATTTTTGAGGCCTCTGTTCTTTCATTGCTGACAAAAACTAAATTTTGCATGCGGACTCGAATGCCTCAGATAGCAGATTTAAAGTTCTTCTATAATTTGCCTATACAGTAGGTACCAGGACAAGCATTTCATTCCAGCCTGAATTCTTAAGGTGATAGCTTTCATATTTGGGCTATAATTGGTTTTCTTCAGGAGAAAGATCCAGTCAGACGGGTTTCTACTTGCAGTTTGAAGTGGATAAAATTCTAATCAAAGCTGGCCAACCTGTCTGGCTTTTGTGAGAAGGTGTTTCAGCAACTGGAAGTAGCTTAAGAGCAGTTTAAGCTGAAAAGGATCTGAATACTCTACAAAAGAAGGAGCTTAGTCTTAGAGTCAAAAGTAGAATTTGCAGCCCACTAGATGTGACAGATTCAAAGCCCCTAGCAGCTTCAGTCAGCACAGTTAATAGGGGTTGTAGGAGTCGTCGTTCAGCACTTCCTGGAGGGGCTGCATATTTCATCACTTCTAATTTATCTAACCAGCCGTCTGTGTACCATTTTGATCGCAGTCCAGTTCGCCCTGATACTTGTGGAGTGGAGCAAAGCAAAACCTTGCTCATAAAAGATTCAGCCTTCTCTGCCAATCATTCCCATCCAAAGAACAATACACTAAAAGGACCAGAAATCTGGGATTCCCAATATATTTGGCAGACTTCAAATAAAACTACTTCTTGTCACCTTTCACTTTGTCTCAGGATTTTTTTCTATGTTTACCTTATTTGAGTACTGGAGTTTTAGATAATCTCAATTTAATTTAGTCCGGAGCCATTCCAAACTGCAAGGAGTAGAAGGTCATTTGTGTAACCACAGGGACAATACTGTGGTTCTGTGGAGATGCACTGCTGAAAATAATATTAAAGATGTCAAAATGTCAGTTTTTAGTATGAAGCAGCTGCAGTGATCTGTTTGGAAAGCTGCTGGGTGAAATCTCCATGCTAAAAAGAAAGCTGTTGACTTAGATCACTAAAAAGAAAATATTGGCATTTTGTGCCTCTTCTCTTTGCCTAGTAAAATAGAAATAATTCTTCTGAAATAATTAAAATTTAAAACCAGGAATTCAGATCCAAAGGGCTGAGGATGACCTGGATGTGGAGGGCAGGTTGAGATTTGCTTCCATTTTCTGTTCAACTAAAACAGTAGCAGCAGCCCCTGTAACATATTTCTGGCCCCCGGCCTGAGAATTTGAACATTTGGGCATTTTTTTAATTCTGCTTTTTGGATTTAAGCAGGAAGACATTTCTTTTTGTATCTCTTATCTCTCCTGCCACCACTAATCATCATTGGGGAAGGGAGGGTTGATTTCAGCCTGGTTTTGTTTTTGTTTTTTGTGGGGAAGAGATGAGCTTTAAGGTTGAAATTGGGAGCATAAGACTTTGGAGATTCAAAGAACTTTTAACTTCCAGTCTTGAAATCGGGCCTAAAATGGTGATTTCAGGCCAGTTTTCAAGGTCTTTTTGAGGAAGAACTCCCATTCTCATCCTATCATCCCACAAAACATATATAAAGGGCTGAAAAATTCAACCCAGCTCCTTCTGATGATGATACCACATCACTTCCTCTAGCTTTCTGAAAACTTTGGAGCCTTACTTAAGGCTTCTCATTCCCTACATATTGGCTACCCATGGAGCTTCCCATAGAAGCCTCCACAGGTACATGTACCTTTTAATCAGTGGAGGTACTGATAAAGATGCCATGCACAATTGAAGCATTTTATAAATGTTATAGACTGAGGGACAACAAAATCATACACTGTGGAGGCTTAAGAAAAAGAAGAAGAAGATGGTTCTTTCAGGAATCAAGACTGGATATGGATGGTGAACAATCATATTTTAAAATATGATTGGAGTGAGAGTTTTTTGACTTTGAGTATATGGTGAGCATCACAAGGCCTCTAAGGTTAGTGGGAGCCAAAAACTGGTGCTGCTGTATTGATCAGAGGAAGAAACTTTAGTGAGTTTTAAATTCCATGTTGATGGGATTGAGAAAGAAGTCTGTGAGAAGAGCGGTTTTCGAGCTAGTTAAACCAGAAGCGTAATCTAAGCCAGGAGCCAAGATCCTAAGCAACAGTGGAGAGTCAGGAATCTGTGAGGCCCTAGGACAGGGATGTCAAACTCGATTTCATTGAGGGCCTCATTGGGATTGTGTTTGACCTCGGGTGGGATGGGGGGCGGGCTCGACATCACTCGTGTAGGGGGCGCCTGTGGTGGCCCAAGCGCTCTGCCAGTGAAAACGGGCTTCAGAGCTCCGGTTTTGGCTGTGACAGTTTCCTGCAACCCTCTGCCAGCGAAAACGGAACTCGGGAGGGCCACAAATGGCCCTCCCGAGCTTCGTTTTCGCTGGCAGAGGCAGTACAGGCCAGTCCTTTGTAGCTTCCAGGTCAGCCACTCAGGGCAGATGTAAGCACCCCATGGCCGGAAGCGGCCCGCAGGCCTTGAGTTTGACACCCCTGCCCTAGGACGTCAGGAATTATTGCTGTCAGTCCTCACCAAGGAGACCAGTTATAAGAAGCAAATTTGGAAACCAGAATTGTATGATGAATTAAGATTATCCTCTAAGGCCAGCTGTAAGTATTAGGATCATATAGCCAGTCAGCATCTTCAGTTAAGATTAAGATAACTTTTATTGTCTTTTTCCTGTATACATACACAATGGCACACATTAAGATGAAATTCCGAAGCACTGCTCTTGAAAGAAGGAATGCTACCCACCAAACAATGTCATAAATCCCAAGGGCAACAGCAGCATAATCCAAAAATACCAAGTTATACAAAAGTGACACCAAAATTTATATACACACACACACACACACACACACACACACACACACACACACACAAACCTATTTTTTATTTTATTGATCTAAAAAGTATGTACAGGTAGTCCTCGATTTACGACCACAATTGAGCCCAAAATTTATGTTACTAAGTGAGAAATTTGTTAAGTGAGTTTTGCCCTGTTTTACGACTTGTCTTGCCACATTTGTTAAGTGAATCACTGCTGTTGTTAAATTAGTAACACGGTTGTTAAGTGAATCTGGTGTCCCCATCGACTTTGTTTGTCAGAAGGTCATAAAAGGGAATCCAATGACCCCGGAACACTGCAACCGTCATAAATGTGAGTCAGTTGTCAAGCATCCGAATGTAAATCCCATGACCATGGGGATGCTGCAATAGTCATAAGTAACTTTTTTCAGTGCCGTTGTAACTTTGAATGGTCACTAAGTGAACTGTTGTAAGTCGAGGACTACCTATAAATCATAAATAGCCACAGATTCTTACTTGATTAAGTCCTGGTCTCTAGTTGCAAAAGTCCCGGTTTAGGTTCTAGACCAGGGGTCAGCAACCTGTGGCTCCGGAGCCGCATGTGGCTCTTTGGGCCCTCTGCTGTGGCTCCCTGTCAGGTGATCCCACCATTGGCTGGCCCCGTCCCTTGCCCTCCCCTCCCAGTCACTCCTCGCCTGGCCCGAGAAGGTAAGGGCGACGGTGGGGGATGGAGAAGCGGCCAGGGCAGAGACAGATACAGAGAGAAGGGGAGACAGAGAGACATAGAGAGAGGGAGGGAGGGAGGGAAGGAGAGAGGGAGGGAGGGGAGAGCGAGATACGTCAAAAGGATTTTGTGGTTCCCAGTGTTTTTTAACAACTGGTTCTCCGCCTTAATGACTGGCTGGGTAGGTGTGGCCAGGGGATCATGTGACTAGTGGAAGTGAGTGACATCGAGTTGGCCACGCCCACCCAGGTTTTGTGGCTCCCAGTGTTTTCTGTGGGAAATGAGTCCAAATGGTTGTTTGAATATTTAAGGTTGCAGACCCCTGTTCTAGATCACAAACTTGCTAACAGGAGACATTGAATTTCTCTCCTCCCCATTACATCATTGTGCAATTCCTGGGGGAGCAGTGTGTGTGTGTGTGTGTGTGTCTGTGTGTGTGTGTTTAAAAGAGAAGGAGCAAGGAAGTATAGGATTGTAAGAGCCAAGAAACCTTGATTTGTATCTTTCAAGGTTGGCTTCCCAGCCTGTGGCTCTTTTAATGAGATAAACTTGGCACAGAAGCTGATGAAAGCAGATAAAAACATCTGGCTCTATTATGTAGAATTATTCACAAGTTGTTTTGATGCTGCTTTATGTAAGAAGCTCACTTGCCAGCTGATGGGGAGACTGCTTCTCCCCCTTCCCACTTGACTGGGAAACATTTCCCAGAGTACCAGAACCTTTCTGCCTCACCTTCTTCAAAGTGAATCTGACAGGGCCTTTTTTTGCTTTCCTTACCTTTGCTATACAAGCCATGCTTTTCCTGGCTATAACATAGCTGTAACTCGAAAGAGGATAATAATCACCCATGATCACTTCTGCAAGAGGAAGTCATAATGGATGAGTATTCCGGCTATTATCCCGCTCCATAAACTGTTGCGCTCAGATTGAAAGAGTGAGAGATCATCTGTTTTCCATCAAGCCATAACCGTCGTTGCATGAGTCTGATACTGGTACAGATTGCTGTCATTTTTTTGAAATGGGGTCTAAGAGCACAAATCTGTTTCTAAGACACTGTCCTTTTCTTCCCTATTGCAGCTGTTTTTACCAGGAGGCAATAGCCTTTTCCTGTTAGTGGGCACTGTTACGTAATCTTATATGGTGGGGTAGGTGCCAGAAGTTAATCGTAAAACATTTTTAAAAACTTTTAGAAAATCAATTTAAAAATGTAAGATGCTCCAAGTTTTATTAGGTCTTATTTGGAAGAAACACTTACCTTGAAATATTTGCCAAAGGTGCTTTTTCAAGAGGCAACTGGACTTTCTGGTTTTTCTTTGAAGACGTTTTGCTTCTCATCCAAGAAGCTTCATCAGCTCTGACTGGATGGTGGGGAATGGAATATAAATATAAATGGAATATAAATCCTTCCATTCTCCACCATCCAGTCAGAGCTGAAGAAGCTTCTTGGATGAGAAACGAAACGTATTCAAAAAAAAACAAGAAAGTTCAGTTGCCTCTTGAAAAAGCACCTTTGAGACAACCATGATCTGGATGACTGAGAATCTCCAATGACAGTGTTTTAATACTTTAGTCAGTTCACTTAAAAAGAAATTTTATGTATAAAGTTTTTGCAGGTGGATGGATACAGTCTATTGTTCTGCAGGTGCTATGGCATTCACAGATGCCACATTACCAATTCCTGCCCATGTCTGGGGCAAATCGAGTCCTGTTCAAAGGAAATAAATTGTGCCACCATGACATATCAGAATGGTCCATGTTTGCTAGTATTTCAGAGGACAGCCGAGGCTCGGCGAAAGTATATGCAGTCTTTTGATTCTTTATCTTTTTGTTTTCTGAGGCCACCATCTTCGAAAAAGAACAGCCAACTACAGTAAATTGTCACATTTTTCTGCCTTCGACCTATTTTCCATTTTGTAGCTTTAAGCATAAAAATCACAAATAGCTGATGTTAGGCTAGAAAATGGCTCTATCATAACACTGGCAGGGAAGTATGCCAAACCCATATGCCAAATAACAAATTTAATCAATCTTTGGGACTTTTAATAATATTCTAAATCAGTGTTTTTTAACCATGGCCACTGACATCTTAAAGAAATCACCAGTTGTTTATTTAAAGGCAATGCAGAAGTTGCTTATTCCTTAAAATGTGAAAATGCTGCCTCCTTGATTTTGTTATAAAAATTACAAACTCAAAATGGAACAATCTGATGCCACTATCATCTTTTTTTTACTGTTTAGCATCAAACCGATACATTGTGAGTTGTAAGATTCCTTTTCACATCCCAGCAGTTCTCATTTCTACTTGGTTACATTTTCCCCGCCCACCTCCTTTAGAAGGAAAAAGATGTTAATGTTTCACCCTTTGTGGGGGAGGGGAGAGATATAAAGTGTATTAGGGTGGGTGGGTGGGTGTAACTTTCAGCCAAGCATCTATGAGCAAAGCTAAATGCATGTTCCATATCTGAGTGCTTGGATTTGTTCTGTTGGGTAATTGTTCAGAGAGCTGCCAGAAATAGAAAAATCACATGATACCCATTCAAGCAACCTCCACTTTAGGGTGACAATGCTGCGCATATATGTCAGTTTATTTTTGGCCCAGCTTTTTGCTTTTTGTGGATTCTTTGCTCTCAGAACATCAATGGGCTGCTGACGTTGGAGCCCAGGAACATTGGGTGAGCAGGCAGGGAATGGCAAGAGGCTGCTGCTGAAACTGGCCCACACAGGAATGGTAGTTAGCAAGAATGGCATGTTCAGAAGAGCTGCCCTTACCCACCACATTCCCTCACCGCCATATTGCCTGAATGAATAGCATGAATAGGTCTACAAAGGCAAAGCAAAAAAGATCAACTGCTTCTGGAGTGCTGTGAGTGCTGGTTCATGCTAGGTCTGAGAGAAGTCACCATGACTGTTTGTGAGGTGCCCTTCTCTAGGAACAGTGGGGACAAGGCTGAGGGCCGTTTGGCTTTTGAAAATTGCAGCTTGGAGATGAACCCAAGTTCACGTCTATCTAGGTCTGAACTGCCACCTTCTGCTGCTGCCCACAGGACCTCGATGCATATTCTTGTGCTTTCAACCAAATCTCACTTCCCTTCCTGTGGAATTTGGGGGTTTCAAATCTGTGGATTTCTCTGTCCTTGCTGGGTCAATATTCTCTCTGGGCAAACAGATGGGGGACAGGTGGTGTGCTAGGCCTTTTTGGGAACCACATGATCTTTATTTCTTGGCACCTGATAACTTGGCTGTAATGAACTCTTTCTCTTTCCCCTGCCTTTTCTCTTCCTTTTTTGCCTCTCTCTCTCTCTCTCTCTTTCTCTCTCTCTCTTCCTTTTTCTATTCTTTTCTTCCTTGCAGCTTGGCAGTGACCTTGGCGGGGGAATTGGAGGCAGCCCAGCAGTAAGTGCCCTCCATTCATTTTTTTTTTCCTTTTCAGTTCTAATTGAAAAATTATTATTTGTTGAATTTACACCCCATCTTTCCTTCAGAAAGAGTTCATGTTGGCACACATAGTATTTTCTCCTCCAATTTTATTCTTACAACAGACCTTACAATAGGCTGAGCTGAGACTTTGTAACCAGGCTTTAAGTTGGCCAATATATTTCAGAATCAACTGGGGATTTGAAAACAGGATCTCCCATCCTCCCAACCTCAACTACTCAAATGTGCAGGCGTTCATTCTGTGGTCTTCTTTTCCCATCCATTCTTCTAAAATCTGTGCAGCAGAGATAGCCCTATGTTAGACATTCTCAACATGTTCTCTGGATTAAAGCAGAGAACCATCTAAAACACTGAAATACTGGAAGGAAAAGAAAAGAGAATTTGGTAGCAAGCTTGACTTGTAGAATAGTCAAGAAATTTGGAGTTCTGTTACTGGGGAGATCTGAGATCACAGTATATTTTTCCATGTGAAGTAGATGTATCACTGCTTGGTCAAGAAGAAAAAAATGGAGAACCAAGGAAAACAAGCTGAAGGATTCCCAGGGTTTGTGCAAGACACCAGAGTCATTGAAAAAAACCTACTTTCAGGTTTGGCTTGGTCCCCAAGCTCCATAAACCTATAAATGGGAAACATAAGGCATCCAGAGCCCTTGGTACCATTGATGAGAAATTCCAAACAACTTAAAAGTCATTGAATGAACTTGAACTGGTTGACTCATATTCCTAATTTCCAAGGGTCATCAATAGCTGTGGATTGCTGTTGTCCTTGGAGCAAAGCATTCCTCTTCCAATTCTATTAAAATGGATTTGAGGGCCATGGGACTTCCTGGATGATCAACAGGTCTATTTTGAAAGCACTAGCTTTGAGTCCATTTCACTACATGGTTGTTGAGTGCTTGGTTATAACTGAGAATTCCTTATGGAGAGTTCATTCACCTTCGTCTGATACAATTCCTCATCTTTTAACTGTTGGAAGTTGAATGTCCTTGCTCTCCACTCTTCACAGTCTTTTGGAGAAGGTAGGCTAGCTATTAATGGCTGCTTCAATCACATAGTGATGGGTAGTAGAGATGGGATTTAAAGCAGAGAGCACACTAACATGCCAATTTAGTACCCTTGATCATTCAGCAAAATGCCAGGAACAAGTTCTAAAATATTCAGAATAGTGTCCAACTTTATGGTTTATTTAATAGAGGTGTCTATTATGTACCAGATGTTTAAATATCTTCCTTGATTGCTTGCAGGTGGGACAGACCTTCATCCCATCGTCAGTCCCCGCAACATTTGCTCCTTCCCCTACCCCAGCTGCAGTCAGCAGTGGACTGAATGACCTCTTTGAACTCTCTTCTGGCATCGGCATGGCACCTGGTGGATATGTGGCTCCCAAATCGGTATGTGTGAGGAAACATGGACAGAGCTGTCTTTTTTTGCCAAGGTTGTCTCTTCATCAGTTGTTGTTATTTTTGGGGGGGGGCATCCCTCTCTTTTGTTTCACAATTATATTGTTTCTGAGTAAATAACTCTGCCTTTTGCTCTGTTTGCCCAATGAGCTTCTGCATCCATTACAAATTCATTTAGTACTACAGTAAAAAGATTTAAGTGAAACCAGGATGGTGGTTCTGGGTTTGTTTGTTTGTTTGTTTGTTATGGCATGCAGCATGCTGGTTAGGGAATTCTGGAAGCTGAAGTCCACACGTCTTCAAGTTGCCAATTAGAGCATGCTATTTCTTCTTTTAAATCCCCTTATTTTACTGCCAAACTATTGTGAACTCTGTTCAGAGTGCTGTAAATGGATTTTGAGACATTTCCTCTCCAGCTTTTCTAAATCAGCTGGAAAGAATCTATGCTACCATTTGAGATTCAATCATCATTATATACCAATACATAAAATGGGCTTGAAGTGGATAGGCTGAACACACCCACTCAAAATTACTGTCTATCATGATAAAGAAATCTCACTGGAATTATTCTGATGCTTTATGACCCCAGTTTTGCTTGCTCTAACTGCTTGTGCTCATGTCTTTATAGGTCTGGTTGCCGGCTGTGAAAGCCAAAGGCCTGGAAATTTCTGGAACTTTTGGCCATCGGCAAGGACATATCTACATGGATATGAGTTTCACCAACAAGGCTCTTCAACACATGAGTGACTTTGCCATTCAGTTCAACAAGAACAGGTTAGCCTTGGAGTCAACTAAACGCCCTTTTTGTTGCACACTTTCTCTTTCTTGGCTTCTCTGTTGAATATTACACCTTCTTTCCTCTCTCTCTCTCTCTCCTCCCCAACCATCCAGCTTTGGAGTCATCCCCAGCACCCCACTGGCCATTCACACTCCTCTGATGCCAAATCAAAGCATTGACGTTTCTCTTCCGCTCAACACTTTGGGGCCAGTCATGAAAATGGAACCTCTGAACAATCTTCAGGTAGGAACACTTGAGTTTGGGGAGATGGAGGAGAAAGTAGATTTGCATTTTAATACAAATTAAAATTAAGAGTTGGGCATGGAAGGAAAAGTGGCTGAATAGTCAAGAAACCGTCAGATCCTTTTCAAGTGATGTGGTAGTGGAGGGTTGCTTTTTTTTTTCTTATAAAACAAGAAGCTGTTCTTGGAACAAAACAATTTAGCTTCAGGCAAACTATTCAGTTCAGGCAAATAAAAATAACAGAATTTGGTGTATCACATATAAATACTTTCTGGACTTCATTGTAGCAATGATCTGTATATGAAAAGGCTTTTAAAAATAAGATATTCTGGCTAATTTACCTAAGTTGAAGTTAGAATTTTCTTAACATATGTAATTTGTTGGTGGGCCCGTTCCATGCCTGATGCTATGATATAACGATTGGGTCTACATATCATCTAAACCAAAAACAGATTGTGTTGTGGCTGAGCTTCTGAGATGACTGAATTTTATGGGCAGATAAGGATTGCATATCCTCCTGTGCAACGTTTCTGAAAACTAATTTGTATGTATGTATGTATGTATGTATGTATGTATGTATGTATGTATGTATGTATTCAGTTTGTATGGCTGCCCGTCTCAGTGACTCTCGGCAGCAAATGATCTTAAAAGAAATTAAAAAACAAACATTCCAATTTGCTCTGCCCATTCCACATCTGTGCCTTAACTAAGCATCAGGCTCCTGAGTTGATTCTGGTACTGTAATAAATAATACCCTTCTACACAATGGTTTCTATTCCAGTATACAGGCAAGCTGTGACTCCTTCACTTCTCTCCCCCCTCCCAGCCCTCCTCTAATAATCTTTCTATGGCATCTCCCACAGGGAAGCTTATTAACCATAAAAAGGACCGTTTTCTTCAGCACTTCTGTCCTATGTGTTATGAATGAGCCTACTGACAGGCAGCTAGAAATAGTGTTGCCTTAATGTGGAAGCTCCTGGTTGGGATTGAGAACAAGAGGAGATGCAGCTGTGTAGCTGCTTTTACAGAGGCAGGGAGTTTGTGAGCCAACCCCCCCCCCCAAAAAAACCCCTTCTTAACTGGGAAAGTAAAAAACATAAAACAGGCTCCAGTTTCAGCCTGTTTACCTCTGTATATTCAGACTAAGTGAATATTTTTTACTCATTTAACACCAGTGCTCTTCTGGTTTTATTTTTAGAAAGCCAACAGATTAAATATTATCTACATATCCTCCATATTCAGAAGCAGTCTATCTGCAGTTGTTGTTGGAGGAGAAGATAGCGGGGTGGGTGGGTGTTCTTTTTAAAGGCTATGTAGATTTAATAAAAGTTTCTAACAAGGAAGGAACTGGATGGTGGGCTGCAGAGCCTCCAGTCTGAGCCCGTAAATGAACGCTTAGATTTGTGTTTTATTTTGCCACATAAAATCTGAATATTTATAAATGTAACTAAACACTTAACATAGTGGGTTCCCTCAGAGATGCTAAGGGGTGAAAACTCCTTGTAATAAAATAATATTTGGGGCTTTTGGTCAAAGCCAGGAAGACTTCCAGGCAGAGCATATTCCAAAGTGTGGGGCTATCACTGAAAAGTACCGACTCTTTAGTGCAGGGCTATCAAACTGGATTTTTTTGAGGGCTGGATCAGCATTGTAGTTCTCCGCAGGCGGTGGGTGGGATGGATGCCTCCTGCAACACCCTGCCAGCCAAAACGAGGCATGGGAGTCCACGCCCCCCCCCCCCAGCCTCGTTTTCACCCTGCAGTCCATTGCCTCCTGCAGCACTCTGCCAGCCTTTTTCGGCCCGTTTTTGGTAGGCAGAGTGCTGCAGAAGGCCATGGAGGGTGAAAACGAGGCACGGGGGGGGCGGGGGGAGATCCTTTGATATTTCCAAGCTGGCCCCACGGGTCGGATTTAAGCACCCCACGGGCCTTGAGTTTCCCACCCCAACTTTAGTGGATACCCCCTGCACTTCACAGCTTTTGAGACTATATTAGGATTCATGCTTGGCAGGACAGCTTATGATGTATCCCTACTACGCAATATTGGGCTTAAGAGATGATCAACTGTAGGTTGAATTGAGGCTGGATCTTACTGTCAGTGCAGCGACGTCAAATTCAGGAAATCCTTGACTTACAACCGCAACTGCGGCTGGAACTTTCCATCCCTAAGCAATATGGTTGTTAAAGTGAGTAATCACATATGTAAAATATCCAATTTTACAACCCTTTTTATCACATCCGTTAAGCGAATCCGGCTTTCCCCATTTGCTTATCGGAAGCCAGTTGGGAAGGTTGCAAACTTTTTTCCAGCAAGCCGGGCTGGCCTAATTTTTTAAGTGTTTTTAATTGTTTTGTTTATCGTTTTTAATTAATGGGGCCAAATTTATATATATCTTTTAACTGTATTTTAATATTTGTATTTGGTGTTTTTACTTGGCTGTTCACCGCCCTGAGTCCTCAGGGAGAAGGGCGGTATACAAATTCAAAATAAAATAAAATAAATAAAAAATAAATGGCAATCATGTGGCTTTAGGTGCTGCAACCGTCATAAATGCACCAAGCGCCCAACTTGCGATCATGTGACCTGCAGGGATGCTAGAATGGTCGTAAGTGTCAGGGCCTGTTGTAAGTCACTTTTTTCATTATCACTGTGACATTGAAAGGTCACTAAACTAATAGCCACAAATCAAGGACTATCTATTGGGAGTAATTCTACAGTATCCAGTTTCTCCAACTGAAAATCTGGCCACTGTATGTCCTACAAGCTGCAGCTTCCAGTTCATTTTCAAAGACGGCCCTGCACAAGCAGTCTAATTTAAATAGAGCAATCAGGGCTTCTTGATCTAGGGATGACCATAACTGGCATATCAGCCACAGCTACACACAAATATTTCCCTGGCTACAGCTTCCATTGCCCATTCATAAATCAGTGCTTGACTCCATCAAGATTGCCCACATGGGAGATGTTCCCAGAGAATAGAATAGAATAGAATAGAATAGAATAGAATAGAATAGAATAGCAATAGCAATAGCAATAGCAATAGCAATAGCAATAGCAATAGCAATAGCACTTAGACTTATATACCGCTTCACAGTGCTTTACAGCCTCCTCTCTAAGTGGTTTACAGAGTCAGCATATTTTCCCCAACAATCTGGGTCCTCATTTTACCCACCTCGGAAGGATGGAAGGCTGAATCAACCTTAAATCTGGTGAGATTTGAACTGCCAAATTGCAGTCAGCTGGCAGTCAGCAGAAGTAGCCTGCAATACTGCACTCTAATCACTGTGCCACCGTGGCTTATAGGATAGGGATAGGGATAGGGACAGTGGTGGGTTGCTTTGCGCAAAATCGCCTGAACTGGGGAGAACCGGTAGCAACCCACCACTGGATAGGAATAGGAATCAGTTGGAAAGGACCTTGGAGGTCTTCTAGTCCAGCCCCCTGCTCAAGCAGGAAAGCCTATACCGTATCAGACAGATGGTTGTCCATTCTCTTCTTAAAAAGAGATAGATAGATCAGCTGCTTATGCCGAAACAGCAACAACAAGGTTTTATTCCAACCTTGTTTCCCCCTCCATTCGATCCCAGGATATAAATAGAAATAAATGTGACAGAGCTGTCTTCCTTACTGGAGTGATATGAAAGCAGGGAACGTTTTTTAGTATGAATTTGGATGGAGAAAAGACCCCAAATATATCCATTATAGTGATTTGTTTTCTTAGGTGTTACACTGTTTATCTGAAGATGTTGCAACGGGCAACCCCACAAGCAGATACAGAAGTTAAAACCAAGCCACATGCTGGCTTAGCTGACTGTGTCACTCCAGGAGGTCCTTGTTCAGGAATCCTGTGTTTTGGATGGAATTAGTTGCTGTCAAGCAGAAGGACTTAGAAATGTCATTGTTACCCAAGAATCTGTTAATGATAGAAGAATTTTCTGTTCCCATTTATCTTTCTTTCTTTTTTTTTTTAATCCCCTCTGAAAAAGCAGCTTGTGCATGTAGCTGATTCAGCTTCAAGGGAATTAATGTGTGCGGAAGCAATTCTGGAGAAAGGAATGTAGATATTTAAATATTTTGTCCCTTTTGCCCTTTTTTCTACTCTCTTCCTTCCTACTTATTTTCTTGCCCTTCTTTATTATCACTGGGCAGATCTGGCAGTGGTGAAATCCGAATTTTTTTACTACCAGTTCTGTGGGCATGGCTTGGTGGGCAGGGTGTGGCTTGGTGGGCGTGGCAGGGGAAGGATATTGCAAAATCCCCATTCCCTCCCCACTCCTGGGGGAAGGATATTGCAAAATCTCCATTCCCACCCCACCCTGGGGCCAGCCAGAGGTGATATTTGCCGGTTCTCCGAACTATTCAAAATTTCCGCTATCGGTTCTCCAGAACCTGTCAAAACCTGCTGGATATCACCCCTGCAGAACTGGGATAGGAAAGCGACACCACAAAATTTGTATTGCCCTTCATTATTTCCTTGCCATCGTTCACATGTTCTGCATTAGAGCCAGATTGAATTAATGTGGCATGTTATTTCTTCTATGTCCATCCATCCCCCCCTTTCGGGCAGGGGCAGGAGACAGAATCTTTGTTCCAATCTTGTTCAAGGCTCATTCATTTGCTCTCCAGAGACAGAGGTTTGGTGTTTTTATTTTATTTGATTTTTTTTTTAATAATGTGCTGCGAAGTCATTTTAAATTCTAGCAATAATGTGGATAGATATTCTTCGTAATAGTCTTTCGGATCTTCCAATGATGTTCCCATCACAAGTGTAACTGAATCCTTCCAGTTGGTGCTTAAAAGAGAGGAGCAGGAAATGCAATGTTTTCATGCAGTTGTCATCACAGAGAGATGCACGTAGATTGCTGTGTCATCCCATTGGAAGATAACAAGGGTTAGTTCAGTATTGTCGTAGTTTCTTTCTCTGGAAAAAAAAGTACTAGATAGATAAGGGATTTTCATACTATTCTCAGAACATATAAGAATTCCTTGGAAACTAGTCT